CCACCATTTCATCCTTTCTTCCTTCCCTTTTGTCTTTACTTCTTTCCCTCTTTCCTCCCTCCATCCCTCTCTCCCAACCATCTATCCATTCTACCTGCTCTATCTCTTTCCTTCCACTTTCCCTTCCTTCCTTCTGTTACTGGGAAGAAAGTACTCTTAGCAGGGAGTGTTAGCATGCCCCCCCCCCCAAGTTAGAAAGTTTGCCCATGCCTGCTGTAGGGCAATAAACTTAAAAGATCAAATTCAATTTAGTACCCACTAGAGCAGACTAACTGAAGTGCTGCTGCATGGACATCCGCCATAGAGCTCCTCCTCTATACGCCTTCCTGCCATTCTGCTCTGTTTAACGTGGCCTGTCCCGCAGATCTCTAGCCTGATGCCCTGAGGTGCACTGGACAACACTGCCCCATCCCTAGGGTAAAATGAGAATTCAATTACCAGCCCATTCTCTTGTATGTTTGTGGCAGGCAGCAGAAAATGTTGGCCACCCCTGCTCAAGAGGAACAAGGACCATTCCTCTCATAGCACCACAGTGTCACATCATACAGTGAAGAGGCAAATGGATAGAAACAAGGAAATACAACTCCACACAATTCATAGTTAACTTATGAAAACTGCAGCTGCCAGCTACGGTGTCAGTCAGTGGCTCAGATGGATTGGAAGGAGGATGGGACAAATTCATGGAGAACAAAACTCTTAATGGTTTCTAGTCTTGAAAGCTAAAAGTTACCTCCACTTTCAGGGACAATATGATACAGAATGCCAACTGCTGGGGAACATGGATGAGAAGATGTTCAACCTCCTCCTGTTCTACTTTTAGGTTTTCCAGAGGCATCTGCTTGGTTGGCCTCTGGGGGAAATAGATGCTGGATGTAGAAGGCTGTCTGGTATGATCCAAGAGGACTCTTCATAGAGGACCCCATGGAAGAAACCAGAAAGTGAGGGAAAAAATGCACATAACAGATCAGTTTGAAGGACGTATTCAATGCTTTATGAAAGGTTGCATATATTGGTTTGAGAGTTGTACGCTGGAGAAGAGAGCTCAAATCCCTGTTTGGCCATGGAAACCCATTGGTTCACCTTGGGCATGTCATACTCTCTCAGCCTTCGAGAAAGGCTCTGGCAACCTAACTCTGAACAAATTTTGTCAAGAAAAATCCCCTGATAGATTCACATTAGGGTTGCCCTAAGTGGGAAATGACTTCGAAGCGCACAATGGAAACAACAAATCAAACGTTTTGGCTGATGCCTCTAATATTCATTTAATGAGAACAGGGCAGCTCTTTGCATTTCTTTTTTATGCCTCTTGCTACGTATTTTGTTGTTTTAATCTCTAGACGGCTCATTGCTCACATTCCTGAAAAGAGCCTCAGTGAGAATCTCAAAGACAGATGTGCAAATTTACATCGATATTCCTTCCTATCTGTACACTTCCCAAACACCTCTCCTGCCCCCTGTCCAAAATACTGAGAAGATCAAATCCCTGGGAAGATTAATGGGCTTTTTTGCTCCTGCATTAGTGAGCATGCTAGAGAAATTCCTGAACCCAGCAAGAGCTCTGTGGCCTTTTCAATGTGCCCTTTGGGCTAGGAGGGAGAACTCCATCAGCAACGCTGCTCAGACCCCCCACAACGCTTTTTTCAAACGAAATAATAATTGCTGCACTTGGCAGTTCCAGGGCAGCCTGCGAGTTCTTCGTACTGAGCTGTAGAATATTACTAAATTCTAGTCCCACTGGGCTTTAATTTACGCCTTCCTTTCTAGCGTCTACACAATCAACACACAATGCTTCTGCTTAGAAAGTGGGGGAGGGGGCACCTTTCAAGGTGTTGTTCACAAACTCCCCCTAGAAACCTTTGGTTCTGTGTATGATTTTGTCCCAGAATAGCCAGGCGTGAGGCAAAAACAGGATACTATAACCACCAATTTGGAAATAATGAGTTACACGTTAAATTACAAAGAACACAATTCTCCATAAAGAGGCATGGGGGAGGGGGAAGCGTGGGCAAAGACATGCTCCAAAAGTCACAGAAGGAATGGCAATGGCGGCAAAGTCACTTCATTAGTACACTAATGTTTAAAAGTAAAGCGTAAAGCCATTTTAAGGCCTCTTGAATACATTTTTGATACAGGTTTTACAAACTGGATGGAATTCTATTTCCAATCCCATTTTTTTAAAGCAACAAGTGATGCAATCGGTTGCTGTTGCAACACTCAACTGGGAGTGAGAATTGTACTCCTTCCAGATGCTTTTGGGGGCAACTCCCATAGCCAAGGGTAAGCAGTGCTGAGAGATGAATGTAGCAACATCTGGAGGGCTGTTTAATTCCCGGCCCTGCACTACAAGGGTGACAAATAACTTTTTAAACTGAACCATGCACAATTTGAACCCATTACCTTTAAGAAGCAACAGATCACTTTTTCCTTCCCTGACGTATTTCTGCTACTTGACAGAACAGCCCCATATCCCTGCTTCACGTTATGTTGGTCAAAGTGCATGATGCAATGCCAACATATTGTGGTACAATTTACTGGCTGATGATTTGTGCAGGAAGGGAAATCCATAATGTGCTGTTTCAGTGTGCTTTCAAATGTATTAATGTTGAGTATTTATTATTTATATTTAGTGAAGGTATTTCTGTATTACCCCCCACCCACAAGGGCTCCCAAGGCAATGGGAAAAAGCAATTACAACAGGATAGTACGATGCGAGATATGAATATGAATTTACTGTGGAAACAGGAAACTGTGGATAATAGCAAACTCTATTGGAATGAATGCCTTCTGCCAGAAATTGCCATAGAATTGCCCTGGAGAACCTAGAAAATTCCTAAAGAGGTATCCCATTTGCAAAGGACCAACATTATCTTTGTGCCCACTGTCTGCAAATGTTTCTTTCCTTCACAGAAACCTGCCAGGATCCAGCACTCAATAGTGTATGACTGGTCCCAGTTCATGAACCACCCCTCTGAGCAGCACTGTGGTAACTTCGGTATCAGAGTACCTACTTTGTAGAACATTATCCTACATCCAACTCCTAGCATATAAAATCTAAGGGGTTTGTCTGGGGAGAGATCTTATATGTAGGATGTAACTCTAAAAAGAGAACCTACCAAATTACAAAATTAACTTTGAGTGTGTCTTCTAGATGAGAAGTGCCCATCACAAAGTACAGAAAGAGGAACTCTGTTGGAACTGGGAGTCCATTGGTGTCCTTTTGCCCATAAGCCTGAAAATCTAGCAGCAGGGGGACAGAAGTAGAGGTACCCTGCTTTGCTTGCATTGTGCTACATCTGCTAATTGCAGCCACTTCTCTCCTTCTTATCTCCTACTGCTGCCCTTCAGCAGCTTCTCTCTTGTCTTTCTTTCCTATACCATAATATCCCTTTATCCACAAATTCTGGTAGGCCTACCAAGTCAATTTTAACTTGTGGATTTTAACCTTCATTTTATTTTATTAAGTTTAACCTGCATTTTACTTCTGCATACAGGTGGTTCCCAAGTTACAGACATCTGGCTTACATACCACTCGTAGTTAAAAACAGGAGTGAGACAACAGAAAATGTGAGGAAATTTACTCTGATGAAGGGAAAATCACTTCTGGAAGAGTTATCACGTGAAAAAGGTATCTCTGCTGAAGCTTTATCATCCTTGTTTCCACAATAACCCAGTTTTTCCTCAAATCCAACTGTCACAGGGACAGAAAGTGAGGTGAAATCTCTGAACAGGGACAAAGACAGGGGCAAAACAAATGTTACAGGGGTGTTAACCCTTCTCTATGCTATCCAAAACCTTTAAAATGGCTGGAATTACACTTAAAAATGCACCTGTTCCAACTTACATACAAATTCAACTTAAAGAACAAACCTAAAGAACCAATCTTGTCCATAACCTGGGGACTGACTGTATCTTGTTATATGTATTTTAATACTGTTGTGTTTTATCTCTCTGTTTTAACCATGTTGTAGGAGCCCCCAGTGGCGCAATGGGTTAAACCCCTGTGCCGGCAGGACTGAAGACCGACAGGTCGCAGGTTCGAATCCGGGGAGAGGCGGATGAGCTCCCTCTATCAGCTCCAGCTCCTCATGCGGGGACATGAGAGAAGCCTCCCACAAGGATGATAAAACATCAAATCATCCGGGCGTCCCCTGGGCAACGTCCTTGCAGACAGCCAATTCTCTCACACCAGAAGCGACTTCTGACACGACAAAAAAAAAAAAAATGTTGTAGCCAGAGCAGCAGAGGAGAGGTGGATAATAAATTATATCCACTGTATCGCTTCCCCTCACTCCATCTCTCTGTATGTTTTGGAACATATCCCCACAGATATTGGGGGGGGGGGGGTCATACTGTATCGATCTTCATCCTTGTTGAAATTCTCCTTTGAATTCCTTCATAATGTTACCTGAATTGCCTACTCTCATCTGCTTCCCCTTTGCTCTGCCCTGCCCCCTAGGAACAGAAAACTGGTCCAAAGAAATTAAGTCAGATGCCCTTCCCTGCTTAAAACACTTAAAATGGATTCCGCTACTTTATTTCTATATATATTGGATTATGTTATTACTAAAGCAACAAATGAAAACTGGGAAGAAAAGCCTTTGAGAGAGGCTTATGGAGCTTTTGAACAACAACAGACAAAGCTGTTCAAACTAGTACCCTCCAAAGAGCAACATGCCCTAAGACATCCATGCCAACTTGGCCCAGGGCACTTAAAAATAGCTGAAGCTGTCATCGCCAGCTCACTTTGTCACCATACAAGTAGGACTCAGTCCTCAATGTAATGAGGAAAGCACTGCACAATGCAAAGAATCACATTCCTGATCCACACTCTCTCATATATGCATACATATAACTACTTCAAAGTGCCCAGAAATATTTTCATTTAGTTCAAAAGACTCAACTTACAGAATGTGCACCTAAAACCAAAGCCAGTCAAACACTTCAACGTTTCTTCAAATTAGCCAATGTTTCTTCAAATCAGACAAGAGCTCTGTATTTACCATTTTCAGTTTGTGCTGCTGTAGGATCTCATCCAGGTTCTGTCTTTTCTTGTAGTTGAAGTAGAAATTTTTACACTGTGAGACACTCTTGGATCCCACCATCCTGGCAATGGCAGACCAGTTGCGTCCATGTTCAAGGAGACCTGCAGATCACAAAGGTACACAGAAAGGGTGAGTCAGTTTGAAACCAGACAAAGAGAGTGGGAAGAAAAGAGCAAAGTTATGTTGTCTTTGAGTAAACTGGGGAGTAGTTTGCTGAGATGATCCTATGCCAGAGTTATCATACAAAAGTGCCCCAAAATATGATGCACGGTAATGTAATAAAAATTAAATGGGAAAGAAGAGGATGAGACTTTTTGTACTGAAATAGCTGCTATTTAAAAAGAAAGCAAATTAAAGATGGAAGTAAAATGTTATCAATGATGCTGGAAGTTATCAAGAAATAGTCCGGGACAGCAAATATGTGGTTTACATATTCCAATGCTGCCATTCCCCAAACTACAGGAAAAAGATCATATACCTGTGACATATGTGTCCCTTCCAGAAGAACCTTATGCAAATGTCTCAATTGATTATCCACAGCCTCCTAATTTTCAATGCAAATCTAAGGAGAGATGTGATACTGAGTCCCTCTATTTAGAACCTTCTCAAGAGATGAATTGTGACACACATTGCTCAACCTTACTTTTCTGAACTTTATTATTTACAAGGGCTGATGTAGACTCTGCAGAATGAATGGATATTGTTTACTGTTGATGATTTTAGTACTCTATTTCTTTATTTGTGCTCCTTGATTTTAATAAAAATATTATAGAGAAGGAGGAATTATTTTAATTATTTTGAAGCAGAAAGCTTATGCAGCTGTCCCCGCGGTTGGTGGGGATGAAGGTGAGGGCCTTCTCGGTGGTGGCTCCCTGGCTCTGGAATTCCCTTCCCAGGGAGATTAGGCTGCCACCTACCCTGTCCATCTTTCATAAAGTTCTAAAAATGTGGATGTTCCACTGTGCTTTTGATTAGACTGTTTCCCCAGAAAATTTTGGCTCCCAGTTATGATACAATTTTCAGTCCCTGCACTTTACTACTGCCCCCTGCTTAGAGATATAGTGTTCCACCTTATATTGCCTATTACTCCCAATTTTTGTGAACTGGCACTTGCACTTCATCTATCAACCCTTCCTCACAACTGATTGTATTGGCTCCTCACACGTTCCCAGAACTGTATTGCTATCTCAGATTACTAGTTATCTGTTTGATGGTTGTTTTATATTGTGTTATGCCATTGTTGTTTTATTTTGCTTGTTACTTTTTTATGAATTTTAATGTGTTATTTTAACTATGTTGATTGGACTTGTCCCCATGTAAGCTGCCCCGAGTCCCTTTGGGGAGATGGAGGCGGTGTACAAAAATAATGTTGTTGTTGTTGTTGTTATTATTATTTCACACATATCTAGGAACTCTGTTCCTCGAGCTTTCAAAATGGGCATTCACACACCTCTGGCCAAGTTTGAATCTGTAATGTCATTGTGTACCTTAGGCACAGAAGGTCTCACACTTAACACCAACATCTTCAGTTGAAAGGATAAAGTAGTACACGGATGACTACTGTGGACCTCATACTGTCCCATCCTCGTGTTTGTCCCTGCCAGAGCTGCCCGCTCCCCTTAGTTAAGGAATGTTTTTAACAGGACAATAACAATTATTTTTTAGAAGTGAAAATGGTTTTGAGGGAATGACACACATTGTAGGAGTTCTGAAATGAGGAAAAAATGGCTCCCAGATCCACCAAAATTGCTCATTCCTGAAACAGCAGAACCCTTCTCTTCCGGTGAACCCTACAAAAAGAGCTACTGGGTTAAATCAACAAACTGCTTAAGGCTGGTTTGGCAACTTCATATAATATTGAGAGACAAAAGCAAACAAAGGAAAAATACACAAAACGGACAATGGAAGTTCTCTAAAAAATTTTTTTACCCCTATTACAACTTCTGTCATTTCATGACTGGGAAAACTTTCCTGGGGTGCAAGGCACTTTTCTAATTGTTTTGAGTAGCAGCTCACAATGAAAAGCACAAGAGGCCACAAACCGCACCTCCTTCACCTCCCCGAGGGACTTGAGCTGGCAGGAGCACTGCGAGGGAGCGGTTATGGGAAGGAACACGTCCACACACGCTTTACATATGCCAAACCAAAATGCAAGTCAATGCAAGGCAAGGGAGCACATTAAAAACACTGTGTGGCTACACATCCTGTACTGAAGCAAACTCTAACTCAAGACCCTCCCAACTTTGCTAGTCTCCTCTTGGTCCTTGAAGATCTGACTTCCCTTTGGTGGCTCACATAAAAGAGAAATAAAAATAGTATGGACAAAGGTGTGGAGAGCAAGATTGACAGAAACAAATGAATTATCTTTAGTGCTGCCCAAATGTTAACAAGGAAAAAAGACCCTACTTAACACTTCAAAGTGATTGAGTGTGACAGGTCTGTCTAGGATGGAGCTATGTGCCACCAGCAGAAAGGCCCTTCTCCTTATCACTGACAGATTGAACTTGGAAGCCAGAGGAACTTGTAAAGCTGCCTTATGTGGGCTCTGGCCAGTTGACTGTCTATCTGGTTTGGGTAGCAGTGAGTTTCCAGGGCTCTTAAGCAAAGAAGGATGCCTCACTTCCTGATCCTTCAAAGTTATTCCATACATGGTAAAAGAGAGAAACAGCCCAGGATGTTCAGAAGAGAAAAATTTCTAATGATGGCTAATAATACTATAGTGGTAGCTCGACAAGTTGTGGATGGCAACGCATAGTCTTTCCATTAAGTACATAATGGCTAGGAACTTCAGTGGGCTACTCTTCTGTTCTGAAGGGGAACAACACTCCGCATTAGTAGATGCTCATTCAGCTCATCATCTGAGTCAAGGGCTCTTGTTGCAGAAATGTCTCTTCCTGTAGATGCAGACATACAAAATTTGCAGGAATCTGATTGAGTCATACCTAGACTCGACCAGAGCTTGTAAAAATTACCTTTTTTGGACTATAGTTCTCTGTAGTTCTAAGAATCCCTCAGCCAGCATGGCCACTGACCATGGCAGCTAAGAGATTCTAGGAACTGTAGTCCCCAAAAAGTAACTTTTAAACTTTTGGAAACGCTTCACCGAAGTCAAAGGGATCTCAATGAGTCATAACCAACACCAGCTGCATTGATTTCCATAGGTCTACTTCAAGTACAACTCAGTTTTGATCCAACCAGCAATGTTTACATTTGGCCGTGGCTGTCAAGATGTCAGGAAGTGAGCACCCACAGAGAGATTTATTAGTCACCTTCCTCCTAAAAGTGATTCAAAGCAACTTATAAATGCACATGTAACATTAAAATTAAAACTGTGGCCATAACAACAAAAGACGATGAAATGAGACATGATAAGATCATTAAACTAACAGGCGGGAGAAGCAGTAAAACCAGTATAAATCCCAACAGGAAATCCAAGATAAGATCCACTGTAAGATGTAAAATGCAGCTGAAAAGAAATTACTTGCCCAGCTGGGAATGTATTTTCAACCAAGTCCCACTAATTTTTTCACTTTACAAAAAAGAAAAAAAGAAAGACAAAGTGTGTGTGTGGGGGGGGGGGGGGAGAAATGGAGCAAAGGTAAGACAAGCCTCCCAGGGGAATGGAGTTCCTCAATGCCAGTTACAGACAATTAACCTCCTCCAATTAAAACAACTCCACATGATAAAGGACTGGAAAAACATGGAAAGTTTCAACTACTCTAACTAGCACTTAGCTAAAGGTCAGACTGGGAAGCTAACTTGATATGCATCTTTTTAATGCTCAGCTTTGAAAATGAAATGTCCATAGTCTGATATCTGCAACAGCTTTAACCCTGAACTCTCATTACCTGGTACGGATTGCAGCTTGGGCAGGAACAACTATTAAGAAGTTTTGGGCACTTCCAACAAGTGAAGATGTCAAAGCAAGAAGACTGCTGAGATCTAAACGCCTCTGGTTTGAACTTCTTCCTTATTTGGACTACAACTTCCAAAGTCCCCTAGACCAGTGTTTCTCAACCTGGGGGTCGGGACCCCTGTGAGGGTCGCGAGGGGGTGTCAGAGGGGTCGCCAAAGACCATCAGAAAACATAGTATTTTCTCAGTTCTTGTGGGTTTTTTCGGGCTATATGGCCATGTTCTAGAGGCATTTCTCCTGACGTTTCGCCTGCATCTATGGCAAGCATCCTCAGAGGTGAGGTCACCCTGAGGATGCTTGCCATAGATGCAGGCGAAACGTCAGGAGAAATGCCTCTAGAACATGGCCATATAGCCCGAAAAAACCCACAAGAACTGAGTGATTCCAGCCATGAAAGCCTTCAAAAACATAGTATTTTCTGTTGGTCATGGGGTTCTGTGTGGAAAGTTTGGTCCAATTCTATCGTTGGTGGGGTTCAGAATGCTATTTCATTGTGGGTGAACTATAAATCCCAACAACTACAACTCCCAAATGGCAAGGTCTATTTTCTCCAAACTCTACCAGTGTTCACATTTGGGCATATTGAGTATTTGTGCCAAGTTTGATCCAGATCCATCATTGCTTGAGTCCACAGTGTTCTCTGGATGTAGGTGAACTACAACTCCAAAAACTCAAGGTCAATGTCCACCAGACCTTCCCAGTATTTTCTCTTGGTCATGGGAATTCTGTGTGCCATGTTTGATTCAATTCCATCATTGATGGAGTTCAGAAGGCTCTTTGATTTAAGGTCAACTATAAATCCCAGCAACTTCAGCATTACCAAATGACAAAATTGATCACCCCCAATTGATCACCAGTATTCAAATTTTGGGTGTATCAGGTATTTGTGCTAAATTTGGTCCAGTGAATGAAAATACACCCTGCATATTTACATTATGACTCTTAACAGTAGCAAAATTACAGTTATGAAGTAGCAACGAAAATAACGTTATGGTTGGTTGACAGTACTGCAACTGGATCCTCTACTTGGCCATTGGACTTATCAAGCTACACAGGGCAGTCTCATTTATAACATTAATATCCAAACTTCCACTCTCAGGAGCTCAAATAAACATGCACTAGGATGTCCATAAAGTGTCCAGTCCAGAATTCAACCAGACAATAGACCTTTGACCATCTAGCTTCA